ATACCTAATAGCGTTCACCAGGCAGACCTATATGTTCTTCTACCCACGCACAAGAGGTACAAGTATGCCTTAACAGTCGTGGATGTGGCCAGTCGCTACAAGGGAAGCCGAACCCTTGACGAAAGATTCGCCCAGGTAGCCAGAGGATTCGAACGCTATACAAACGCAGTCCGCTGACGTGGCCAACAGAGCTGCAAGTTGACCTGCGGGCGGGAGTTCATGGAATTGCCGTGTCACAACTGCTAGCCAAACACGCATAAGCAAAGGTCAGGAGAGCATGTGGCACGGCGTCGAGCCCATGCGCAGCTGCCATAGTTGAGAGAGATTTAATAGGACTTTGGCTGAAGCTGATTGTCGACCACCCATCAGTATGCGAGGAGAGATGGTAACCCGGGAAAACGATTCGACCTGAATGGGTCGAGTTACCCAAGGTGGTGTCGGCAATCAACCATGAAGTCACCCGGCTCACTGATGTCGAAACTTTCTTTTTGTTGAAGTGAGTTATTTTCCTTCTTATTTTGTGATGTGCAGTGGATAGGAAGGTACAAAGACTTTGAAAAGTGTCTTTTTTCATTAAATTAAAAGCAACATCAATATACCCTGGTCAGTTTTTTATATACACAGATAGAGGATGATCAATCTGCTAAACCATAGTCCTCTGACAACTTCATCATATTTTTTTTCTGTTTTCAATAAATGAATATGATCAGTTATTTTTTAAGTATAATTCAAAGATCATCTCTATGTCAATTTTAGTTACTGAAAATAAAGCTTAAGGATATGATGTTCCAGTTTGAATGGGACCGCCTCCATGGTGTAGTTTCGATCCCGGCCGCGTCATACCAAAAGACGTTAAAATATGGTACTTGTTGGTCCTTGTCTGGCACTTGGCATAAAGGGTAGAACAAGGACTGGTCGGCTTGCAGTCAGTATAATGTGTCTGAGTGAGGTATTCATGCTTAACTGCGGCATGGTATCTCAGTTAGCACTATAAAACCAGCTTAAGTCTGGGCTAGTACCGGTACAAGCAGCCACACATACACACGCATGCACGTCATCATATGAACGAAATAGTCTCAAGTATTCTCAAGTTTGAATGAAACCTAGAACTGAAGGTAACTGAATGCCATGGATGATTGATTTTCGGGACGAATCCATTTACCCTCAGTAAGGCGTCTTATCTTTGATCTAGTGTTAAGTATTCATGGAGATAAATATTTAATGTCAACTCTGATCACATTAATAGTAAATGCATAACCACGACCTGTTAAATATACAGTGTTTATTCTGGTTTATCATGAAAATGGGCCTCCTACAGCTTGATACAATGATAGATTTACAGTCACTCTCTTATCTGTGGCACAGGCCTTGGTGCTTGGTGTCTGGGACTGCAAGTATTGTATATTATGTATATTTATCACCTTGGTATAAAGGGTATAATGGCATAAACATCACAAACAGTAGGAAGTGTAAATGGAACATGTTGCAGTGGTGTATGCAGTTGAACACTGTGAAGGTTGAACAAGACGGGATTCCCTGGAGTGAGGAGTATTATTGACTACAGGTGTGTTGTTGGATAGGTTCCCCAACAGGTTTCAAGTGTTTGAGTTAGCTGTGCTTCCCACTCAGTCTCAACACAAAGGTGTGTCAGTCTGGATGTGCAGTTGAACACACTGAAGTGTGTTTCAGTATTTTTCCTTGTGTTAGAAAGTGATAAAGCCCTACTGGTACTGTGTGGTAGTTTATTGACTGCTGTGGTCACCAACACTGGCCTCCATAGTTTGCATTAAGATACACTGAAAACATTGTAATGGTCTGTCTCACAGACTAGGGCTGCGCAATATAACCGGTTTACCAGTATTTACCGGTTCAGACATGAAAACGATATGTATTGCGATATGCTGATCGAAAACCGGTATTTTGACATGCATTCTGAAAACTTCGGATATTTCCGTTTTTTTAATTGTTCTTTCCCCTGTTTCATTAGTGCCAAATGTTACTTACATTTTTATTTTGTCATGATTAAAAGTTTTTATAAAAGGTTAATCAATCATAGTGATTTTGTTGTGTTTTTGCTTTAGAATCAAGCATTAACTCGATTATAGTAGTTTTTGTTAAAAAAATAATCCTTGCAATATATTGCAATACATATCACAATATATGCTTCTGCATCGCAATATATCGCAATATGAAAATTCTCTGCAATACCCACCCCTATCACAGACCCATGAGAATAAATTACATGGGACTCCTGGCCTGTCCGAAGAGCACCCTAAATGGGTCTTTAGTACTCTCTCGCTTGTCTAAAGAGCAGCCTAAAATGGGTCCTTGGTATTCAATGATTGTCTGAAGAGCAGCCTAAAATGGGTCCTTGGTATTCCATGATTGTCTGAAGAGCACCCTAAAATGGGTCCTTGGTATTCAATGATCGTCTAAAGAGCAGCCTAAAATGGATCCTTGGTACTCCATGATTGTCTGAAGAGCACCCTAAAATGGGTCTTTGGTTCCCCATGCTTGTCTGAAGAGCAGCCTAAAATGGGTCCTTGGTACTTTCTGCTCGTCTGAAAAGCTCTTAAAATGGGTCCTTAGTAATCTCTGGCTTGTCTGAAGAGCAGGCTAAAATGGGTCCTTGGTACTCAATGATTGTCTAAAGAGCACCCTAAAATGGATCCTTGGTACTCAATGATTGTCTAAAGAGCACCCTAAAATGGATCCTTGGTACTCAATGATTGTCTGAAGAGCACCCTAAAAGGGGTCCTTGGTACTCAATGATGGTCTAAAGAGCACCCTAAAAAGGATCCTTGGTACTCAATGATTGTCTGAAGAGCACCCTAAAATGGATCCTTGGTACTCAATGATTGTCTAAAGAGCACCCTAAAATGGATCCTTGGTACTCAATGATTGTCTGAAGAGCAGCCTAAAATGGGTCCTTGGTACTTTCTGCTTGTCTGAAGAGCAGTCTAAATTGGGTCCTTGGTACTCCATGATTGTTTGAACTTGTCATTGAAGACCAATGGCTTAGTGGCTGCTCATGCTTTTTGTCAGGGGTATGTCTGATTTACACATGGTAATTTACAGGTCACAGTGACATAACTGGGTTAGTGTTCACTTCACTTCTTCTTTGCATGAAAACCTGTACATGTCATTGTAGCATGAGTGAGTGACTATTGTTTTACAATGCTTTTAGCAATATTCCAGCAATATCATGGCGGAATCCATAAAGACACCATTCCTAATATCATGGCAGGGGTCACCAGAAATGGGTTTCACACATTGTACTGATGTGGGGTGACATGGTGGAATATTTATTCAAGTTTTCATATATATATATATATAGAACATCATATTAGTGCATTTGGATGTTTTGTATTGAGCGAGAAGATGCACTAGTATGACGGTCTATATTTATTATATACCCTCTTATCTTGCATTAATCTGTTACTTAATAAAACAAATCAGTAGAACCGGCAGGGGTTCAATACGGAATCTGGGGTGCAATACGGAATTTGACCACGTCATCCGTATTGCACCCCTGCATTACTATCTTAAGTTTACATGGGTATATAATAAAATTATAGATCCACTGCAAGTGATATATTAGAAAAGCTTTGATAAAATGTTATACGTGTACCATGATATACATATTGGTTCAACAATTCTGATGGAATCAACAGGTCCCCAGCAACCATTGCTTGTTGAAAGAGTCAGACTTGTGGACTTGATAGCATGTCACGGTATCCCATCTGCACGGATCAATCAATGTTCATGATGTCGATTACTCCACTGCGTGACTCAGACATGATTATTTACAGACTGCTGTCATGCAGGTGGAATATTGCCGAGTGCAGCGTCAAACACTCAACAATCAATCTATCATTGACACCATGGAACACAGACACATGCTTCGTGCTTCTCTCCAAATATATACTGTGCAAAAATGTACGGGATCATAAATAATATGGTGGAATATTTTGTTGGTGTGAAGACTCAGCACACAGTTTCAGATTTGTTTTCATAGGTGCAGGTTATGAAATAAATTTCTATTCTCACTAGTCAGTAAAATGGTGAAATGAGTTGCATCTGTGGAAGAAATATCCTTCCTGAATTTTAGTAGTTTCTGACGGGTAATTATAGACAGGGTGGAGGTAATTTGTCTTGTATCTATGACATTGAGTCTAAGATGGTTGGGCTTGTATTGGTCAGTATACCAAACATCAGGTTTGATTCTCATACAGAAGTGAATTTTTTTGTGCTATTCTTGATGACCTGGGTCCTGATCCACAACGTTTGTAATGTTACGACCTATCGTAACTCTATACTATATCATTGGCTTATGAATGACGTAATGCTACAAACACTGTGTGATAGGGTGCCAGGACTGAAATACATCCCCAGTAACCGTGTGAGCCTTCCACTCCCTATCCTTGACACTGGGTCCTCTAAGAAAGTATGTATATTTATGTACCAAGGTAAATATTTATCCTGGGTTAAATAAGACTAATTTTATTGTTTTGTGAGTTTTGGGCATGGATTATTTGTGTGAGACAGTTCATTTACACATGAACTCATATGTTCTACTATAGCAACTGTAAGAGACAAAGAATTGTTTGGCCACCCATTATACACTTGAAATTCCTGCTTTCATCTTACAGCTTATTCATCTCAAATGTGGGTGGTTAATTATATTTCATTTTTCTTCTCAATGCATATCTTTGTTATGACATTAATGCAAAGCAGACAGTGGCATTGTTGACCTCTTATGTATGTAAAGGTCAATGTTATTGGGGGTGATATATTTCTTGGAGTTTGAAGAAGAGCTTATTCAGTCTGAAGGATCATTCATATATTCTTACACGCCCACCTACCACCACTTTCCTTGAAACGTTATATAGGAAGACGTATTAATATGTTTGCAGGTATAATGGTCCCTGTGTTGTGTTAATCCACTTTATATTTTATACAAACATCAGGCTGTATTTCTCTCAATTGATAAATTTCAGGTGGGTGTTCAGCTCCTCGACAATAGAAGATTTAGTCAAGAAGAGGTTGGATGACCGACTGCTGGCCATCAAACCTTCATTTCTAGGTGAGTAGAAGACTCCCAGCTTGTACAACGTTGTACTAGAACATGTGTTACAGAGGATGCATGCATGCATACATATAACCTACTTGGTCTACATTTGCAGTATGTAGTGAAAATGCACAGGTTTTAGTTACTTAGAGCTACAAAGCTGCATATCCAATTTCTCATGTATAATCCATTAATATCCACAGAATCCCAGGCACTTCTTTGGAAATCAAGATTTTTTCAATTCAGTCTGAAATTGAAGAGATTCAGCTAGCGCCTTCTTATTACATATATTCTTCAATAGAAGTAAGAGAATACCTGATTCTTACATCCTGCTATAGTTAGTTTGTCATTAACTAGATTAACTGAAGTAATACAAAAGAATAGGACTTACTCTTTTAGTAGCACAGTATTCACTGTATTATGCGCTCTGCTCAAATATCCTGAGACATTTCATGACAGTCCCTACCGATCTTTTTTCACAGAATGTATCTGCAAAAAAGTGGCATATAACTGCCTGGCAGCTAATAAGGAAAACCTTTACTTTCATCCATGTTTGAACTAAGTTTGTACATATTGTTCACTACCACTCAAACTCTGAAAACAGAGAATTGCGTATGGTGTCGATAAACAAACCCTTGTCTTTTTTCTGTATTCCTAGGATGCTTTTTCTGGTGAATATGGTGTTTGAAGAGACAATTTGATATGGATCTCACGGGTGTATCAAGAGCCCATTAAAATAGACCGGATCCGAAGTGATATGAATTATATAGCTACAACTTGTCACTCACTTACTTGCTACACATTTTTAGCACTTTATGTTTATTAATTCCACAGTGTAAACATGTTAATGAGAATAAACAATCAGTTCAGCACAAGTTGTCATCATGTGAACAATTTTTTTCTGTAATCACCCAAAAATGAATGCAGTACCTGTTGATAGCAGTAAACATCTTGTAGGAGATGGCTGAAGGCAGCCTCCTCAGAGATTCTCCACATCTGACACTTGCTGTTGCTGGAGGTGGCAAGACCACTTGAAGAGTTATCTCCAGATGCATGGTGGTACTGATAATAAATGTCTGTGTCACAGTGACTGGTAGAGGTGGGAGAGCAAAACATTTTTAAAATGGTCCTGGAGTTCTTTTTCAAGGGATTCATATCATTGAACATTAGAGTTAGGTTATATTTTGATATCTTAGGGATGGGTAGGGCTGGAAGAATCTTGGATAATTTTAGAGAAATGTTTTCAGAAAAATATTGTGGACAAATATATTTGTCTCAGGTTATTTCGGAAAATACAGTTGTTCATTTGACTAACTGGATGTTTTGAATAAATGTGTTTTCCCTCTTTTAGGGAAGTGAAAAATCATATTTCTTGGAGCAGTGGCCAAAACAATATTCTGTCAGCAGCAGCATCCACGTATCATGTCTTTTTTCATCAATTCTCTGACCGCCTCCGTGGTATAGTGGATAGAGTGTCTGCCCGGAGAGCGGAAGCTTGCGGTTCGATCCCTGGCAGCCTCATACCAAAAGATGTTAAAATATGGTACTTGTTGGTCCCTGCCTGGTGCTTTACATTAATAGGCATAACAAGGACTGGTCAGCTTGGAGTCAGTATAATGTGTCTGAGTGGGGTATTCATGCTTAACTGCGGCATGGTATCTCAGTAAGCTAGCACTATAAAACGGGCTTAAGTCTGGGATAGTCCAAGCAGCCACACATACACATGCATGCACATCGTCATATGAGCGAAATATTCTTAAGTACGACGTAAAACCCCATTTCACCTCACCTCACCTCATCCATTCTCTGATCATTTCTCAGTGATAAATTTTTCTTTTCTTTCCTTTCCTTTTATGGGAATTGTAGTTTGAAAAGAATTTTTTTGAGAATATCATAAAGGTCTTTATCAGATGTTGACTTTGAGCAGTGCTGTTGAACCACTGGCAGTGTTTGTACTGGCTCAACAATAAATAACATGAAGTTGACCTGTATTCATTAAGTAGATGCAAAAATTCAGTTGTCTCCAATTGTTTTGTTGACATTACTTGGTTTGTTGTTGGAAGGAAGAGTTTTATCAAGTAACTTCACAGGTCTACACCTATATTATGATAACCGATATCGTCAGTTAAAGACCCTGCAATCATATCTGCATTTCACATACAACTTAATCTCGGTTGTCAGTATTAAGGCTGCTCACTTTCAACTATGAAATATTTCTCCACTTGAATACGTCCACTGCTAAGTTAGAGATAAATATAAAGTCCACTTTAGAGGCAATGTGTTTATCATACACTTGGCAGTATGTACTACTTGTATTCAACCTATTTCGTGACAGGGTTCCAATCAATATATGTTTCTTGTTTATGGTTTTTACATATCATATATAAATAGATTCCCCCTTTTTTGTAAATGCTGATATCTTGGTATTTTATACATTAAGAAATAATTTTGTACATGTTCCTAAAGAACACATGTTCATGAATAATCATTTTTAGACGGCTCTTGATATATGTTTCGAAGTATTGTTTAGTATATTCCTCTGAACTAAAAAAATTGATCACTTGTAGCAATAAGAAATAGTTAGTCTGGAGACTACCACATTGAGGTTCCAAGACAGCTTTGATCCCATGATGTGGTGGTCTGGTTTTGTCATTTGGTGTTTCGTGTGTCATTGTACTCTGAAGGAATAGGAAGCTGCTCTTTATATAAGCTACTTGTTTGTCTCAAGCCAGAATAGAGCTGTGAAGGGTAGAAAAAATAGAACTCAAGTCACAATACCTGATCAGGACTGAGGTTCCCAATTTCAACATTTTGTCTTTCTGCCTCAGCATCATAAAAAGTACATCCAGAAACCTGTGACATCATTTTTCCATGTCAGGATTTGCGTGAGAGGAGAAGATGAGAGTTACCTCCCCTGCCTGGGTACTTGAGTCCCTGACATTGCCCTCAAGGTTATCTAAATCTGGTCCAACTGAAATACTCAAGTACCTATCAGAGCCATCTTAAGACCCAGTTATACCCCTGTGTGCCAGATTTGTAGACATAATTCCATCTTGGCATGATGTTCTTGATACTGCTTCAGCTTTAGTGTGTAGATTACAAGAACCCCTGCTCAATGTGTACTTCGAGATGATTCTTATGGAATTTACTGTTAAATGATCATGGTCAAAAGTTGAGAACTTCTACTGATGGTATATCCAAAATGATGATCGCACCTTTTCATATCAAATTAATTGTATGAACTTCCGTGATATATAGCAGTTATCAACTTAAACCCACAGGGCACTTGGCGAGTAACTTTATGCCCAAGGAGTCCCATCTTTGACGAAAGGTAACCATTAAGTATCCTGTCGCACAACTATATTCAATGACCCTCCAGATTAGAGGCAGTGAGGCTTGTGAGTACCGTAGTGACACTGTTGGGGATAGATAGAGATATTGAATAGGCTATAGAAACATGACCTGTGTAGCCGACACTATGTAGCCACAAGCAGCAAACCACACAATATGATGCCCGAGATCAGGTTTGTGTGGGTGTACAGTCTGATTTGAAAACATGGAACTTTTACAAATAACAACTTCTCTATTGGTTAAAGAAGTTGGTATTTTCATGTTTCCCAAACTCTTATGCTCATTGCTAAAATAGGGAAGTATTGATAAACATTTCAAGAGATATGAATTGTAAAGTCTGTAGATACTAGTACTGACATCAATCAGTTAATGATTTGCCTCTTTGTTCTTTAACACCACACTCAGCAATATTCCAACTATATGGTGGTGGTCTGTAATTATTGAGTCTGGACCAGACAGTCCAGTGATCAATAGCATGAGCATCGATCAATGCAACTGGGATACATTGACATATGTCAACCAAGTCAGCAAGCCTGACCCCTATAGTTGCTCCTTAAGACAAGCATGGGTTGCTGAAGACCAATTCTAACACGAATCTTAACGGGTTAATTAATGGTATACTAGTAATTTCATGGATAAACAGTTGATAACGGCAATGTCAACTCATCATTGTGATATCCCTACAAATTACAACTGTATCTTTACTACAAGAAGTTTGGCCCTCAGGAAGTTTTGAGTAGTAAGTACTGCATATGAATATAACTGGACACAGGTTGAAATGTAATGATGTGGACATATTGCCTCAAATGTATGTTTACCTTAGTTATTATTGACACTTTCCAGTGTTATTGCTTCTAATATACACATTTACAATTATTCAGTTTACATAAATGAGAAAACCTCTAGTTAGTTTCCAGTGGTTAATGTTCCACTGCAATATTCTAGCCACTTGATTGCATCCTGCAAATAATTAAGCCATATCTATGATATTGTGAGTAGCAATTAGCATGATAACGTGCAGCTGACCAGGTCCGAATCTTTATGATCCCCTTTTATAACCAGCAAGGGCTCACTGGGACGTAATATAACCTGGAGCCCCTTGAAAGTCATCATCAACCATGACAAGTTGTTAGGGATGTACAGTCATCTTTCTTTGTCTGTCTTTGTGTTATTTGGTCCTATTTTGTTGCTGGATCACAATCAGCAACATATAACTTGCCTGAAGTGTTAATTTCTGAAGGTGGATAATTTATAGGGATATTTCTCTGGAAAATGTATACAAAAATTAAAAATTATATGTATATGATCAATAAAATTGACACATTAATAAGAGTTGGTAAGTAAATCTCGCTGAACCTGTTTTAAGTTCACAATTATCATTTGAACCTTTTGTTAAAGTTAGTAGAGATCATACTGTCCCTGTCGTAAACCTCAAGGGTGTCACTTCAGGCCAATGCAGCGCTAGCAGATTTATGAGAACATTGACTCTAGTGTCAGTCTAATCTGTAGCCAACAAAAAATATAATACCAGGTTTAGTGGCCTCATACATGGCTGTTAATGTTGCATTATGTTATTCCAATGGTTAAGGTGAGGTTTGATGTCAGTGTGTGCACCATTTGCCTGTCTGGCTTCAGTCTGGCTTTCATGAACGTCTGACAGATTA